CTACTGCTTCTTCCCCTTCTGCTCCTATCTTCCCCCATTCTCCCAACTACTGGCTCCCTCTCGGTCTGCACCTATATACCCCTTTTTTTCCTGCCCTCTAGCACCCGCAACCCTCTCTTCCTCTCTGTTCCTATTTTCCCTGTTTCCCCTCCCCCCCCCCACCCCCAATTCCTCAGCTCCCTCCATCTGAGTCAAGCTGATTTCTCCTCTTCTTCCATGCCTCCTGAATTCATATAAGGGAAGATTTGAGAGAGAGAGTGTGTGTCTCCCTGCTTTCAGTCCCTGTGCTTGGCATCACCAGGAGGAGGAATTATAGGGAAAGTTCTGCTCAGCCCCTGCAACTTTGGGGTGGAACATGATCAGTGCAGGTGGAATCTTCAGAGAATTTAACTGCCAGACTCTAATAAGTCTCTGCTGACCATCTGCAAAGAGAATTTTTTCAGAGGCTTATAACTTGAGCAATTTTGCACAGGTTTTCACAGAAATGGCAAAAGGCCCAGCCCATCACTGGCACCAGAGCAAGCCCCCAGCCAAATTTCATGTACCTGCTCCAAAGCATGGAGACTCTATAGCAGTAGTGGGCACCTGTGGCCCACGGGCCGCACGCGCCTGTCAGGGTAATCCACTGGCAGGCCGCAAGACAGTTTGTTTATGTTGACCATCCGCAGGCAACGATATTTTCCCAAATCTCATATTTAAAACTAGCTGGACCATTTTAATTCAGACTTGCTAAAAAGTCAGCCTGAAGCGGACACACAGCTGTGACAGACCCAGACCAGTGGGGTACAGGAGTCTGGTAGCGGGCAAATATACTGGTCACTGGATGAGTAGTTTTCTGTTCCCTGAGTGACCAGAGCAGGGGCTGCACTAGAGTAATCAGGAACCTGCTAGAACCAGTTAAGGCAGGCAGGCTAATTAGGACACCTGGAGCCAATTAAGAAGCAGCTGCTAGAATCAATTAAGGCAGGCTAATCAGGGCACCTGAGTTTTAAAAAGGAGCTCACTTCAGTTTGTGGGGGGAGTGTGAGGAGCTGGGAGCAAGAGGTACAAGGAGCTGAGAGTGAGAGGGTGTGCTGCTGGAGGACTGAGGAGCACAAGCGTTATCAGACACCAGGAGGAAGGTCCTGTGGTGAGAATAAGTAAGGTGTTTGGAGGAGGCCATGGGGAAGAAGCCCAGGGAGTTGTAGCTGTCCTGCAGCTGTTGCAGGAGGCACTATAGACAGCTGCAGTCCACAGGGCCCTGGGCTGGAACCCAGAGTAGAGGGCGGGCCCGGGTTCCCCCCAAACCTCCCAATTGACCTAGACTGTGGGTTCTTTCAGAGTGGAAGGTCTCTGAGCTGTTCCCCAACCCACATGGTGAAACTCTGAGGCAAGAAAATCCACCAATAAGCACAGGACCCACCAAGATAGAGGAGGAACTTTGTCATACAGCATGGAAACATTTATCGCAAATAGTTAAAGTTTGGAAAAGGTATAACAGCTAAAAACAGGGTCTTATAATTCCAAATATTGACTTTATAGTTGTATTTGACTCAGATAGCGAGAACTGCACATGTATTTTTTCTTTTAATAGAAAAAACAGTAACAAAACAAAAGTCATCTTCTTAATGCATATAAATACTCATGTGCAGTTTAATAGATATTGGGTATTATGAAAACAACAGAAAAGCTAATTAACAAAGAAAAACCAGAAAGAACAAAGAAACAAATATCTGTAGTCTTTGATAATCAGTTTTTACAATAATCACTCTATTCACCTCAAAATGTAAAATATTTTTTATGGCCAGCAAAGTGCATTTTACTCTACTGTTGGGATAGTTGTAGAGAAGAAATTGTGTTCGTTCCTTGTAACCACTTGAAAGAGCATCCCTTACACACACCTTTCATAAGAAATAACTTTTCTATTTATTTATTTTTCCTCAGGAGGAGAGCCCTTAGTTAGATGCACAATCTAGATTACATGAGATCCCAGAGGTAAAGGCAAGTGTACAGTGCAGTATGAGTACACATTTCCTCACACATCAGTCATGGATGTACCATCTATACCACCATCTATACTAGTTCAAAAACTTAAACTTCATTTAAAATTTCTCACTCCTCATTTTGCATTTGTTGAGCACCTGCCACCTCACAGGGCATATATAATACAAGATTGTTTTTTATACACCAGTGATGTCTTTTTCTGTCACTCTTTTTATGGTAAACTAGTGTGTTATAGTTTTTAATGTACACTGCAAAGGAATATCACATTATTTTAATGCTTTGAGTTACTCTGTAATATGTGTTTATTGCCTATATCCACAGCACTGAATTCAGATACTCTTAGAGCATAAGTTATTTATCCTTTCACTCCTGTGCAAGTAGTAGTTCTGCCCACCAAAGGACATGATATTGCGTTTACTAGTTCTATTGATCCATTGATGATAACCATTTAAAGACTTAGGAATGGAAAAATACTGTATAAGTGATAGTTAATACAAATGATAAGGAGATCTCAGCAGATGGCTTGCAACTGAGTACAAGTTTAGGAATGCCAGTGTGAGTAGTTTAATTGGGAATTTCTTTTACCAATAAGTTACTAAACTAAATAAATTAATATTTTGAAATATGCATTCATTTTATATGCAAAGTGGAGGGATCCTTTTCCTACCAAGAAAATTTTATACCTGTTTAGTGAGATACTCTGTTTATGAAAGAAAAGTCTTCCTGTCAAGAAAAAAGATTAGTGACATTTCAGTTTTTTAACTATTTTGAATTTGTCTGAAAAAATCTCCTGTAATTTGGATATTTCATGTAATGTATTTGTACATGTACATTGTGGACTTCTACTGCTATCTAGGATAGCTAGGCGTCCAGTTTTCAACTGGAACTGAAAACAGTACCACTGACTGGACTGCCAAGAGTCTGGTTAGCGGTGCAGCGGGGCTAAGGCAGCCAGCATTTCCCTCCAGCTCCTAAGTGCAGGGGTGCCATGGGGATCCACACACTGCCCCTGCCCCGAGTGCCGGCTCCGCAGCTCCCATTGGCCATGAATGGGAGCTGTGGGGGCGGAGCCTGCGGGCGAGGGCAGCGTGCAGAGCCCCGTGGCCATCCCTGTGCCTAGGAGCTGGAGAGGGGACATGCTGGCTGCTTCTGGGAGCTGGCTGAGGTAAGCACCGCCCAGAGCCCACACCCCTCATCCCCCTCCCACACTCCGTACCCCTCATTTATGGCCCCACCCTGGAGCCCGCACTCCTAGCCAGAACCCTCACCCTCTCCCACACCCCAACCCCCTTCCCCAGCCCAGAGCCCCCTCCCACACTCTGAACCCCCTCAGCCCCTCCCAGTCCTTGCTTACATTCCTTATCTAATGTTTCTTTAATAAAGAAACAGGCCTTTGCAGTGGTATCGTTATCTGAATGTTTCCAAAGCCCTAACCATCTCATTTTGCTATGCAAGAACTTTCTTCACTTTTTAAGCTGCACAACTACTCTTATTGCAGATTTTCATTGCATTACCTTATTACAAAACCTCTTCTTTTTGCAGTTTGAGAATTAAGCAAGATGACTAAGCAGATATTCATATTTGCTGGAGTGAGATTTATGGCAAAAATAAAACAAAACACATATTGAATCAGATTTTTTTAAATTTGGTTTTATTTTGTTTTTATGATTATTTGTAGCTGGCATCTATTACAGTAAATGTGCTGTTAAAATTAGCACCAAAAGAAAATTTCCATTATTGCTACTGAACAGTACTCTATACAATTTACATTGTAGGTAGCATGATTATTCTTTAAGATCCAGAAATTACACAAGAGTAAAAATGGCTCTCTAGAGTCATTCTTGTACTTGCCCATCTTTGAGTAGTGTTGCTAGGTATCCATTCAAAGTCTTGAAAGGTGGCATTTTTAAAAGTGCTCAATATTGGCCTACCTCTACTCCCACTGAATTCTGTTGAAGTTTTGCTGTTGACTTTGACGGGAAAAGTTTGGCAGTGTTGAATTGTTTTGAAAATTCCACCCTAACTGTCACAGGCATTCTTTTTAAGACAGTATAACAAAAGGAGGATTTGACAATAGAAGAACCCTTTGATCAAGGTACTGTAATTGTAAATGCTCAGAATTTGAATATTTATTGTTAACAGGGGGAGTATGCAGTAAGTAGAAGTGATACTAAGTAAGCCTGAGTGGCTGTAAATGAATTTAGCTGGTCTTAATGGAAGGAATTTTGATATCGCAACCAAGTCATTAGCTTGAACGTTCAACAAAATGTTTGTCTTACTGAAAGTGCCTGAAATTTAAATTACCAAAAGGTGCAAATTGCACCACTCCAGAGGACCCCAACACCATAAAGGGCCTGGAAAAGAGTAGTTTATATTTTTAGTTGGAGGTGGTTTTTTTTCTCCTTTCGCTGGCTAACAGCAGTATATCACAAAGATGGATCTGAAGGTTGAACTAGAGTATATATAATTGTATATTGCGGATATGTATGAAAAATGTGTACATGATATGTAAACTTCATTGGCACTTTATGAAAATACATTAAACATATAGTTACCGGATTCAGAAAATGAAAATTAATGTATGAATTATTTAGCTAACACTGCACTTTGCCCCAGAATCTGGTGTTTATTATTGTGAGCTTTAGCAGGAAACAGAAGCAATATCAATTGGGAAAACATTTCTTTACTGAACTGAGAACAGTATGGCTTTCTAGTTTCTAAGTGGGGAACCTGGTTCTTTGGTTTCTTTGTTCCTAGTTAGACTACTCCCAAGCTATTTTAGTTGAACATTTTACATACTAATGGAGTCTAGGGAAGTGCAGTTGGCAGCTGTTCATGGGATAATAATGAAACACACTGTTTAGTACTGCATACTGCTGCTGTAAAATGCGGGAAGTATTTTATAGATATCATGGTGAGCAGAGCTGTATCCACTTTAAGTGATATAAGTGCGTGAACTGTTAGTGAGGAAGTTGTGTTTTCTATGAGAGTAACTGGCAATCATTTTGCTTTTGCAGGTAAAGAAAACGTGCACAGAATCAGATGTTTCAGAGGCTCAGAATTCCAGGTACAGTAACGAAAGTAAATACTTAATGAGAAGAACATGGTGATATGAAGCAATACTGAAGCTATATAGCAAAAGGCATGAGAGATTAGTATTGCAAAGAGTTAATGAGTCTGGCTAGATTACTTTGAAATGTATTTCATCCCAGAGGTGGTATTGTTTTTTGCAGTTACTGATAAGAATTGAGATTGGGAATGGACAGGGGGTGGAGAGAGTTTTGATAGTGTATTAATAGTGATTTATCACCTTCAATTTAGAAGAGAATCACATTTAAAACAATAAATATTGTAGTAAAGTCTCTAGATCAATTATTTTTTTCTTTTCTCATCCCTTTCTGCACCTATGATTGTTGCCATTCATTTAGTATTGCCGTTTACTTTCAGTGCCAGCAGATCAGTTTTTATTTGGGTAAAAATTCTTTTACCATGATTTTTTTTTTAAATGTTTACTTGTGCAAAATGTGCTAATGTTCATATGTTGGGAAAATCCCATACACTCCTCAAAGTATGTATTAAAATGCATTGTTTCCTAATTTTATATGTAAGTAGAAAAGGAAATCAATGTAACTTAAATGGGGTCACTATCCCTGTCTATATTTTGGACAAGTGATGCAATAATTACTGCAAATGTGCCATCCAGCATGTACATTATTGGTGATTATTAAATTCTTAAGACACAGGGCATTGTTTTGCCTAAGATTTGTGGAGTGAAACATTTTATAGGCTGTCGTGTCTTATTTCTGTTTACAAGAGCTATATTTCAATTTCACAGGGAAAAAGAGAGTTTAATCACAAAAAGAAAAACACAGAATAAATCTAAAGAAACACAAAAAAGCTAAGAAATTAAAAATGACTGAAACTTTACTGTGCTTATGTCTGGGTATTGCAGCTTTAATGTATGCAAGACCTCTGACTGGTTGGGACACAATAATACTTATGGACAATAGAATAGTTGTGAATAGTCCTGTATAGTATGTCAGAATTTCTTTGATTTGCTTTTCACATTATTCAGTTGCACATGCACAGCTTTCATTGGGTTCAGTAGGAGTTGTACTCATAATTGAGCACAGACTATGAGGCCTGATCTTACTTCCCTTGAAGTCCATGGGAATTTTGCTATGGACTTCAATGGGAGCTTGTTTGAACCTTTGATCCTTATTTAATAATAATCTAATATAAATGTTGTCCTCCCCTTCACACCCTGGCCTGGTATTTTTGATTGAAAATTAAGTTTCAGTTTTAAAAACCTCACAGTTCTTTACAAGTACTTTCAGTAGCATTAGGGTCCTGATTCAGCAAAGCGCTTCAGCATGAGTGTAACTTTAAGCATGTGAGTTGTCCCCTGTGGGACTCTAAACATGTGAAAAGTTACATACATGCTCAAGTGCTTTGCTGGATCAGGGCCTTGTATTGTAACAAGTCTAAGGGCACTTCATGACCCAGTATGCTTTCATAATACTTACTCCATTGTGAACTTTCTGTTGAATGGTCGTTACGATGATTGTTATACTAAATGAAATAAATCTATAGAATATTTTTTTCTCCCAACTGCAAAAGTGACCCACACTGTGAACGATCAAACTGTAAATCTGGTAAGATTTCATTTACTGAAAAAAGGAAAATTTTGAACAAAAAGCATATATTTTGTATTTCCCCCCCCCCCCTTATTTAAGGAAATGTATTTTAAACCAGATCTAGTTTAAATAAAAGGAAATGCTCCTGGCCTGAGAGTTTGTAATGCTGTGTATATAGCTAGAAGCAAGTTTTTATGCCAGAATTTGATATATACGATGCAACTGTGGTCTTAGAATGGAATCACTGACAGACCTTTGACAAGAGTGGCACTAGAGGGCACTGCTATAGCCCACAAAGTTTTAAAGCCTGGAGTAAGGTAATTCTTCTCAAATAAGTCTTAAGTGAAAACATTGCACATAAAATGAAACATCAGCATAAAAATGAATGCTGGAGACACATTGCCTTACCGAATGGCTGCTGGCTTGGGACTTAAGGCCAATATCATTCATTTATTTAGCTAGCTTTATAGTGTGTTGGTTTTGGATTTGAAACTATTACAATAAATGCAGATGGAAAGTGTTTTTACAGTAGGGAAGTAATTAAATTGGGTGTGGGAACTTTGTCAGGAGAATTCTTGGAGTGACATGTGTGTATCAGCAAATTCTTTGTCTTGCTTGGTGTTGGTTCCTCTTTTAGTGAGAAACTTTCAAGATACAGATGTGACTGGTAAATTTGGGCAGAGGGAATCTACTAGCTTATGCAATATATCAGGGCAAAGAATGCCTTACAGAAGTATCCTGCCATATGTGTGATAAAGCTCAATCATCAACAGCAGTCATTTCTCATTTGTACAAAATGGTTGTCAAGTTGACAGATGTTTAACAACACACATGTGCAGGAAACTTAGAAGATTTGCAAGCATGATACATGGAATGATTTTCTCTGAACACATAAATGTGCAAGAAAATGTGCAATAATCTTTAATATCTCAATCACCACACAAATTTTGATCCATCTATTTTCAAGCAGGACATGAGAATTTAGACATGCAAATTCTATGAGAGTTTCCTGGGAGTGAGTGGCTAAATCTCCTATGTCCTGTTCGGAAAGTGCTTTCCTTTATCTCTCCCTTTCTAGATATTTATGTTGCATCCATTGCTGTGGTATCTGGGGATATCCATATTATGAAATTCTTTCCTTTTGTTTTAAAAATTAAATTATCTGTTAGAAGGTTTAATGGCTTCCCAACATAATAAATTCCTATCATTTAATTTTGGATCCACTGTTGTTAAATTGAGAGAGGGTATGACTTGACAAGAGTCATACTGCCAATCAGTGGCAGAGTCAGAAATAGTACATATTAGCACTGATTCCCAGGCCACTGTTCTAAACTCCAGATAACATGAACACATAATCAGATTCATCCGTCAGTAACTTTGGAGATGTAGTTCATGGGTGCAGCATATCTGCACAATGTACATTGCACTGCATTTTCTCATGTTCTCAGTTTAATTTACTAAGGGTGTGATATTGAGAGGTGCTGACTACCTTTTCCCCATGTTTAATTTAATATAATTTAAGTAAATGCTGAGTTACTGTGCTATGCATGAGATGCTTAACTTCATTGTTACCAATGAGAATTTGTAGAAAAAACTTGAGCCACATTTTGTTGATACTGTATATCAAAGCACAAATCTAATCTCCTTACATATAATATTTATGTAGCGCTATGTGCTGCAGCACTTTTGTCTTCAGTGTTTTACAAACATGAGTTAATATTCATCATTTTCAAAGTTATGACATGTTGTTTTTAACCAAACTGGATGCCTGCTAGATCTAGTTATTCCCTCCCTCATCCAAAACCAAACCTCGCAGGCAGAAACTTAGTTACTGGATGAACTATAAGAAATGAGTAAAATATTAGACTATTTCAGATTCTGAAAATTGGTAGATTGGTAAATATCAAAAATGTAGAGCCCCGTGCTCCCATCTGCGTTCACACCTGTGCTTATGAAAGGGAGAATTCTTCTTCGAGTGATTGCTCATGTGTATTCCACAGTAGGTGTGCGTGCTCGCCACGTGCACCGGTGCCGGAAGTTTTTCCCTTAGCAGTACCCATGGGGGGGAGCCCTGGTGTGACCCCTGGAATGGCGCCTCTATATCGCGCTATAAGGGGCGCTGCGCGCTCCCCCCACCCTCAGTTCCTTCTTGCCGCTAGTGAAGGTAGTCGGAACTTTGTGCTCCAGCCTAGCTGTAGCCCTCTAGCCTTAGTGGTACGATTCTTCGACCGTAGTTAGTTTCTCTAGTTAGCGGCCTGGCTCGGGGCATGCCCTGTGCCCCAGGCTTCAAGTCGCGCGACTCCTGTTGCAATTCCATGCCCAGAAGCAAGCCACACTCTGTGTCTTCACTGTCTGGGTGAGACTCACGTAAGTGAGCGTTGCAAAATCTGCAAATCGTTCAGGCCTTGGACGAAGCGTGAACGAGATATCCGTCTCTGGGCTCTACTCATGGAGTCGGCATTGGCACCGGCACGCCGACCTGACCCGGCGCCGGGCATCGCGTCCTTGGTGCGGAGCGAGGGCCCATCGACCAGTCGGCACTGCTCCCCCACTAAGAAGCAAGGGAAGACCCAGCGGCGCCAAGACAAGGATAGGGGTGAGGGACCTAGACCTCTGACTCGTGCGGAGCAGAGTAGTCCGGTCCCGTCCGCGCGTGCCTCTCCTCTGGTAAGGATACCCTCGACGCCAGAGGCAGCACAGGCAGCATGTGACATCCTCGTCCTTCCGGTGCCGGGCGCGCTGCCCAAGTCGGGCCTCCGGTCCCGAGGGAAACCGAGGCGGAGATGCCTGCCCGTTCCGAGGGGCCTTCCCGTAGCCCGCGACAGACCTCTACTCTGTTGGCTGGGTCGCCTGGGAGTGACTCTCTGGAGGCTTCCACTGCCCGGAGGGGCCACAGGCACCGTGATAGAAGGCATCGACGCTCCTCTTCCAGTCGGAGTGATGGGAGTATCTCTCGACGCCGTCGGCACTGCCACTCATATTCGAGTGTTCACCGAGACAGACGCCATACTCGGAGCACATCCCGAATGGCACCGGCACCGAGGCGTCGTAGCCACGATCGCCGGAGGGATTCCAGAGACAGTACCTCCGACATATATATGTCGTCGTCGTCGTCAAGGTCCAAATCCCGAGGTCGGCGCCGACATGGCCGGGACCGGTCCAGCCACTCGTACGACACCATGCATTCATCGATGACCTCGGCCTCGGATCCCAGCTGTCCCTCCCCGGGCCGCATTGCCCCTCAAGAGCCAGTAGATCTGCTAGGACCCCCTACAGGTCAGTGGCAAGGAGCGCCATTGCAAGGACAGTGGTGCCAATGGGCACTGTGGCCCCAAGCGCCCGTACCTGCGAGACCCCGTTCTGTAGCAGGGGCATCCCAAGTCCACTCGGTGTCCCCGCCTCGGCACCAAGATCAGTCCTCGGGCACTGA